ATGACATATGCCTTTACTCTGAGGTTTCCCACTTGCTGTCACACTGCACATTCAGACTTCCGTGTCGGAGGTTCATACAAGAATTATTTCAAGATGTACAGTTTCTACAAGTAAGTATGATTAGTACTTCTCAAATTTATCTTTCAAGAATAATTCAGTGTTTGAATTGAATTAAAATACACATTATAGTTGGGTGTGGTGACTCATGCCTACAATCCCAGCACTTTGTGGGGTCAATGCGGGAGAATTGCTTGAGCCCAGGAGTTCAAGACCAGCCTGGGCAACATAGTGAGACTGAGTCACTACAATTTTTTTTTTTTTTAATTAGCCAAGGGTGGTGGCATGTGCCTGTATTCCCAGCTACTTGGGAGGCTGAGGTGGGTGGATCATTTGAGTCCAGGAGTCAGAGGTTGCAGTGAGCAAAGATGGCAACACTGCACTCCATCCTGGGAAGACTGAGCAAGACCCTGTCTCAAAAAAAATTATATATTTATATAAACATGTTATATATTTTTATAAAAGTCATTAATGATACACCATTTTTTCCCTAGATGCATGAAGAAGCAGAGGCTGTGTTGGCAACACCACCAAAGCAACCTATAGTTGATACATCTGCTGAATCCTGACCTCATATTTATGATGGATATAGATATATACTATATATATTCATATTTGTGGATTTCCTAAAAGCCTCAGAAAATACAACTGACTAGGCAGCAAAGACAGGAGTATCTTCTGTACACTGTTCCGCAGTTACTGGTACATGAACAGTTGGAACTGCTGACTTTCCTAACCAAAACAACTTCCTTCTCTCCTTTGTTGAGCCTTTTGAGGTGTTCATGATTCATTACCACAGTTTTAAGAGTTTTAGTTACCATTGTAGCAAGAGCCAAGCACTGAATACCTACATAGGTTTTCTATTTTTTTCATTTTAAAAACATAATGACAGTGGAACAATAATGGGATATGCAGAATCACCCTTCACAAGTTATTTCTGAATTATTTTTAGGGTAAATACACAGATGCCTTGTTTGTTAACTAATTTGTGGAAAGCAGGAATCAGTGTCTCTAAGGCTGCATCCTGTTACCACAATGGGGTGTGCTATAACTGCTGGTATTAGAGAGGGAACTTTGGCCCTTTCACGTTTTTCTTAATGTTTGTAACACTACTTCAGAGGTTTATAACCTCAAAGCAAAAGAAGAGCCTCAACAACCTGGGACGTATAAGTTATTTTTATGTTACTAGACTTGCATAAAGATTCTTGTTTTCCAACTCTTCATTTTGTTGCAATGTGTTATTACAGGATATATGAACCAATTAAGGTTTTTCACTACAGTTCTTGAATAAAATTTAAAAATCATTTTTTATTTTAATTAAAAATATTTCCCATTTATAGAGTGCATATATTTGCAATGGACTTCCACTTTCATCAACTTTCCATCTCATCGCTTTAAACAGGAACTTGAACAAGCACTGTTAGTTTAGACCTAAAGGATAGGAAAGCATTAAATACTACTTTGGATCTCCTGAGGAAAAGATAAGTTTGCTTGCAATTTACACATTCCATGGAGGAAAGAAGAGCCATATTTCCTTTAAGAAAATCATTAATAAAGCTTGTTATTAAGAAAAATTGTAGTGAAAAGCCTTAAGTACCAAATTTTAAAGCAGCAGTAACTTAATTTTTATATCAGTGTTTTTGTTTTGCACAAACTAAATGCAGTGATAGGTGGGTTTATGAGTATATTAATTGCCTTTTTCCATTTGTGAAGTTAAGTTGATGAGGGCAAGGTTTTTGTTTGTTTAATTTGTATATGTCTAAAGATATTTGGAAATTTTTACAGGATTTAAACATATATGCAAATTTGTATATAAAAATAGCATGGCCATCATCATTTGAATGCTTGTAAATGAAAGGATTATCTTTTTTGAGATCTATATATAAATAGAAATAGAAAATCCAGCTGGACTGATTAGGATTCTTTTTTAATTCATTTGTGTATAACATTTTTATTACAATTACACATCAGTTTTGACACAGTCATAGCAACATTAATATTTTCCCATGATGCAGATCCTTTTTGTAATGGGCTTGTTCTTTGAGATCTCTGTAAAGAACCCTGTGAACTAGAAAACATAACTCACAGAGATACTTTTTTAAAAAATTTATTTACTGGCACTGAAAGTTCCAGTTGGGATGAAGCATTTCGTCTCACTACATAACACCTCTTTGACTGCACTTCAGTGAATTGTTCTTATGTGCACTGTGTAGCAACTTACATTATAACAAAGCAGATAAGGGCTGTAAGCTGCTGCTTATGTTGAAAAGTGGTTCTTCAGATTTCCTCTCATAAAATCCAGTTGAAGATAATTTTTTTATACTTTATCACTGAACCCAAGTGTTTATTTAAATGTCGACAGTACTTCTAAGAACGTTGCCTGTCATCGTGGTCTTTGGTCTTGGATAACTAAACTGCCTTTCCAGAGAACCAAATGTCAGAGTTACTAGACCAAATAGTGGTTAAAACCTCCAAAGGAAGTAATGTAGTAATCTTATTCATAATGGGATTAATGTATTTTAGACATTCGTTTTAAACACTACCTCAGTTAATATAGAGTATAAAATCTGTGGTTTAATCCCTCAAAAGTTAACAGTGATTTTTTTTTTTTTTTTTGTCTTACACACATACACACCCCCTCCCCCACCATCACTATCCCTGTACCCCCACCTTGGTCATCTATCCTGAAATAAGGCTTAGTTAGTATTGGCCTGAATGTTTTGTGGGTTTTTTTTACTGTTACTTTGAAAAATATGTATGTATACATTATCATATTTGCCTATATCACTTACTTTGGGGAGATACTCAGAGCTTTGTGGTTATCAGTATACTAAAAAAAAAAAAGTCTATGCTTAAATTTATAGTGCTATTTGGTTTCTCTATGATTTCACTGACAGGTCTAATACATTTTCTTTGAGTACTTGTTTGTAAAAAGTAGACTTTATGGTGAAAAATACATGCAGTGCCAAGTGATTAACTTAGGTGTTTAAAAATATTATAGCAGAAGAGGTTAGGAATGATATCAGCAGTAATAGAAATAATTGAGAAAATCATCTATAAATAATAGATATTACAGACTATAGAATACCAAAATAATGTCAATACTGTAGTTTTTAAAGATTTTAGGATTAATCTTAGTCCATATAAATTTGTACTATTGGTAATTATTGAATAATTTGGAGGAATTTGGGCAGTTGTGCTGGTTGTAAACTGTGAATTTCTAATCGTAAAGTGAATTGTTATTTCTAATTGAACTTTTTTTCAAGAACAGATTTCAGCCTCACATACTAAGTAAATACTGATAAATAAGGAAATTAGAAATTTAGTATTCATAATTAAATATGCTCTAAAATTTATTATACTTCTATTTCCTGTTTATTCTTAGGTAGATTGGAGGGGGGAAACAGTCTGTTCTCCCTAATTAAAATTTTTCTAATAACAATTAGCAGAATAAGGACATTCTATATGACAGTGACATTAAAAGAGGCTCTTTGGAAGTATATACATTATTATAATGTAATAATGTGTACAAGTCCTTTGAAATGACAACTTTAATGGGTTTCAGCTCTTTTATCTAGAGCTCGAGATAATTAAAGCTGAGTTTTTCAGGGCATATCTATCACAACGGCAAAGTGTGCAACAGTGGGATATCAATGCTTAGATTTTCCTACTGCTATTTATATAAAATGTTATTTCATTCCGTTCAGAGGATGCCTTTTATCCCCACATTAAAGCACAGATCATTAAGCAATAAAAACCAAATTGTCTGTCATTCAAATTATAACTGCAGTTATTTTTGCATGGTAAGAGTGAGGTGCTAATTTTGTGTGAGATGAACTTTGTAAACTACTTTGGGAAATGTTCTTTGGAAGTAAGATTTTTTCCCCTTTAGTCTTATGTTTCCAGTTTTGTCTCAGATTCACAATCCATTAAAACATGGGAAAAAAGAAAAAGTAAAATTGAGAGACTTTTATTAGAAGAGCTGTTTGGAATGAACCAACATTTCAGATTTTCCAAAACATAAGTTAGGAAAAGTCTCCATTGTCTCTGCATTAACAAAATACACTGTTACTATCTTAATCTCAAAAGTGTCATTACAGTGAGAATCTCATGTAAAAGCATACCAGTGAAATTAATAGCAGTGCTTATCAAAGAACACAAATCTGTGAGAATCTTTCTAGGAGCATTGTTTTTTTCTTTCAGTTCCAAGTTCCAGGGTATTTTTCATTCCTAGTAGGTTTATATGACTCACAGAATGTGGACTTTTTTCCTGTTTGAAGTATTTTTGTAATGTAATATCGGATAGCTACACCACAGCATGCATAAATTGCACATTTTGTTTTACTTTCTTTATAGAATATTTAATTTCAAAAATATAATTTATGCCAAAAAAAAAGCATACCTTTCAATTTTGCTACTTGGTTGATTTAGCACAAAATGCAAAGTCTTGGGGCAGAGACGGGGAGTGAAAAAAAATTTGTAGGTAATTGTTACAAAAATGCCTGTCAGAAACCCTAAAGCTGCATTGTAAAACAAATGGTGTAAATTAGTTTTGAAAAGTGGTAAGGAATTGTGAAAAAAGTGTCAGACTTAATGCTCTCTAACCACATGATTTTCTTCTTTTTTATTTAGTAATACGCTGCTACATATTTGGAGGTTCTGGTGTTTGTAGGTCACTGAACAGACATTGAAATCTGATTTATATTGTATAACTGTAACATAGAAAGAAAAAGTATTTATATTTTTTCTGTAAGAATATTTCATTGAGTTGTGTATAATTTAAATAAGATTTGTCCCCAAATGGTTTTGCTCACCTTGATTTTTTTTGTTGTGATTCTCTTGTTTTTGTATAATGTGTACAGTTTATGTCAAGGGCATTAAAAGCCTCCTGAAGCATAATCTTATCAAAGGGATACATTGTTAATAAAATGTACTTAAAATTCTTAAACTTTGTCATTGTTTTATTTGAAATATTAAAATAATCAGTGGTCATATGGCCTTGATTTGAGTCCTGTAATGCTGATGCTGACACATGTGACTCCAAGCAAAAGTGACTTTTAGGTACCACAGACATGTAGAGTGGCTGTTACAATATTTTAAAGTAATATTCTTCTTAAACACTTCATAATTAAACATCTTTGTAGTTTTTTAAAATATCTATAGGGATTTGGAAGATAGGTCTTTAGATAGAACAGCTCTGAATTTTTTGAGGAAATACTGTACAGTATGAGTGATGATGGCATGACAATGGTGACATCTCTGTGGAAGGTATCTGATGTCTCACACATAAACTGCCCGGATTGAATAAGCTTACCTACAGCTACCTACTGGCAAAAGAGAATACCACAGAAATTACGAATTCTGGAGGATAAAGTTGAGTGTCAAAGTTAGGGTCTGTTAATAAAATATGGTAAAATATATATCTCACTTCAAGAAACATTTTGGACAGTTTGGCAAATTTCTGTACATTTTTCCCAATGTCTTCCACTGTATATGTCATTGAAAATATAGTTGGCCCCAAAATAAACTAAAAAGCATACTTACAAATTCATCATGCAGCTGATCTTTTAAAAAAGTCCTAATGCAGCGGAACTTGGAAAAGACTGTTTCATTTTTAAAACTCTTTAGTATATAAAATACTCAAAAATACAGTACTAGTTCGGTATTGATTTTAAGAAACTAAAATATACTAAAACTTCCCTTAATGCTTAGAGGAATAAAACAACTATGCTTTTAAATTGAATATACCTATTGTGTTGTAAACATTTTAACTGAAAGTTCTGAAAACTCTCTTCTACTGTTTCTCTCTTCCAGAGTTTTAAAATTTCTACTTTATGCAGAGTGCTTTAACATGCTTTGTAAATTTGAGATGAAAGCTTATCTTTCAACAGAACTCTTAGAAGTGTTAATAAGATATTAAGTCTTGATGTTCTTAATCAGTACACACTCTAGTAGGTAACAAGGTTGACCCTAATTAGTTTGGGTTAGGTGTTTGAATGTAGGAAGCGTTTCAGAAGTCGTACTGTTGTGTGAAGAGGTCCCAACTCCCATCCTGAATTGTTGAGGTCCCCCGCACACAGGTGAGGACCGTGCACAGGCTGATGCAGGATTTAAAGGCCATTAATGCCAGTGCCGTCCACCACTCAAATATCCTATTTTTAAGGAATTACTACTGTGATTTTAGGTGCAATTTTTAACAATTAGTATGACTATATTAGAAAAAGTAGAGCTTAGAAAACTCAGATATTTACATGAAATCATGATATCATGATTTGCGTCAAAACGTGAGGAGAAAGAGTGAACAGAGGTATGGATGGAGCTGAAACAGTCATGGGTAGTGGCCATTGGGACTGGTGGTGATACATAGTGGTTTATTAAACTTCTACTTTTGTGTATATTTGAAATTCTCCATTTTTCTGACACATGAATATGTATTTCAAAGTTTCTGAATAACACTTGCTAAAGCCATGTTAAGATGGCATATAGTATTGAAAACTAAGGTTTTGAACATGAATTTATTTGGTTATGACCATTGGAGAAGAAATGTTTACAGTCAAGACCATAGGTCATAGTGATATTATGAAGACAAACGTTACATAGCCCAGCATTTCCTATTGGCATGTTGTTGTATTTCAGAAAGACTTCATTTGATTTAGGCCAGTGATTCTCAAAGTTTAGTGTGTAGATGAATGCCTGGGAACTGATGAAAAATAGATTCCAGGTCCATGCCCCAAAGATTCTGATTAAGAGGTTTGTAGTCATACCCAGGAATTTACATTTTTATTTAGTAAGTTCATGAGGTGATGTATCTAATTACTAGATTTTCATTTCATTGAGGGAGGTAAAACAATGTGATGATGAAATATTTTAATTAAGGTTTATTTCAGTATTAAAAATGACTTCAAGGTTTTGTGTGAATTATTTTTTAAACAAAACTATATGAAAAATATGTACAAATCAGTCACCAATGTCATTGACATTTTTGTGAACAAGTTTCAAATGAAAAATGTAATCCCATCATAACAAAGGTACATAAATAAATAAATGCTGACAATACTGGCCCTAAAGTCTAACACAACTGTTAGACTAATCAGGATACCACTTTCTACTACATGAGGAGCACATAATCAATGTTTCCAGCAAAAGGCAAGTACTGGTTTGTGTAGGTTTATTTAGGTCAGTTGACAGCCACATTATTTTGAGGTGTGGCTACTTGTTTCTCTTCATAGTGTTGAAGGGCACAGTGCAAGGTATTGGGCACCAGAGGCATAAGCATAGGCAGAGCCATTTCTACCATGCTGACGGCAGGCAGGAAGACAAAAAGGAACCCCTTTCGTGCTTGTTTGGAAATGTGACGGCTAGGTGCAGTGGCTCACGCCTGTAATCCCAGCACTTTGGGAGGCTGAGGTGGGCGGATCACCTGAGGTCAGGAGTTCCAGACCAGCCTGACCAACATGGTGAAACCCCATCTCTACTAAAGATACAAAATTAGCTGGGTGTGGTGGTGCATGCCTGTAATCAGAACTACTCGGGAGGCTGAGGCACGAGAACTGCTTGAACCTGGAAGGCGGAGGTTGCAGTGAGCCAAAGTTGCATCATTGCACTCCAGCCTGGGCAACAAAAGCAAAATTCCATCTCAAAAAATAAAAAATAAATGTGACCAATAATGTGACAAATAGGCTGGGCATGGTGGCTCACACCTGTAATCCTAGCACTTGGGGAAGCTGAGGCAGGTGGATCACCTGAGGTCAGGAGTTTGAGACCAGCCTGGCCAACATGATAAAACCCTGTCTCTACTAAAAATATAAAAACTAGCCAGGTGTGGTAGTGTGCACCCGGAGTCCTAGGTGCTCCGGAGGCTGGGCAGGAGAACTGTTTGAATCCGGGAGGCGGAAGCTGCAGTGAGCTGAGATTGCACCAAGAGAACCAACATGTACTAAAATACCAGTTGTGTACCAGGTGCTTTGCATATATTAGTTTGGAATATATTGGTTCAGAGGAGACAAAGTTGCTCCAAAGCCAACATGGAATTTCCCACTCCATAGAACTTTTTAGTTATATCTGAATTATGTCCAACAATGGGTTTCATTTTACCATTTTAGCATAATATGAATGTAACTGTGACAGAGTTATCTTGGCCCAGACAACGTAGTGCAGAGTCCAAAGCATGCCAAGTGAAAACAGGCTGTTTATAGCCAGTTCTTGAAAGGAAAGGAACCAAACACTGAATGGAATTACGTGATATACTTTCCTTTTTATGTTCTGAGGTAGTCATCAAAAATTACGGTAGAATACTGATGTCTATGGAGCAGATGTACAACTGACAGTAAGTCAGAAGTTACTTGCCAATCCCATTCTTTCACTGTAGTAAGCTTGACAGAAGAATTGTGGAAATCTTGTTGATTGATCACACATTTTACGTATTAGATTAGATCTATACCCCCCGCCCCACCCACAGAGTTAATTTTACTGTGTCCGTGAACTATAGATTCTTATCCGTTCAAGGTAAGTCTAAAATCTGTCCTGGCCTCAGACACCTGAGTTTTTTTCATTCAATACGCTCAGTAAATTTACATTGACAATTTATGCTGTAGTAATAAGTCTCCTGTGGCCTTTATTAAAGCCTTCAATCTAAGAATTGCTTTTAATGGAAATATTTCCTCAGTAAAAAATGAACTTCTAGGACCACAGCCACCCTGTACAGTACTGAGTGGGAGTCTGTAGAGTGGTTAATGCATATCCTTGTGTCAAGCTCAAGTCTCCTGTTCTAAAGGTGAGCCTGGAACAAACAGCAGCAAGGTAAGCATGCTCCCATGATCCTGCCATTTCTAGGGCAAGCCTGCACCAATGGGGAGTGTTAAGTTCCATAGCTTCTGGCCTTTAACCTAGCCAGATTGTAGTGGTCTTACATAAACCAGACCTGCAAATCATACTGGGATTAAGGACCAAGGCCACTGGTGATGAGAGGGTGCCAGCTCTGCTCTTCGTAATGTCTGTGTAGCATAAGGTATGAAATCAGCATGCTGGTTAGCGGTAGTGTTCACCTGGATCTAAAAGGGTAATTGAGGAAAGGCTGCTATTCTCGGTCGGGGGAGGCAGGGCAAGACGCAGGGGGACTGCCATTTGCATTTTATACTCTGAACAGTGTGGTGGCTCCACTGGGTTTGTTGGGAGACTGTCCTTGTCTCCAGACATGGGTGAAGCCAACTGGGACACATAATTCAAACTTGTTTCTCCAGCTGGGACTTCTCCCAGGGAGTTCATGTAGTTTTTTTCTAGCGCCTTTAGTACATTTTCAGGTGAGGTCATTAGTCCTAGCATACTTGGTGGGGCTTTGGGGGGTACTGGAACATGGCCACAAGAGCCAGCGTCAGAAGCTGCCTGGTTGTAGGTAAAGTTCTCAAAACAGATGCAGGGGCCAGGGCCAGAGTGATTCTTTTCTGTTGGAAGGAGATAAAGGTAGTTAGGCTTAGTTAACTCAGTTTCTGTGAGTGACTTCCTAGTGCCTAGGAGCTGTATCTTTGTCCCTTCTGGCTTGCTGACAACTTCAATAGCATCTGGGATACAGTCACTGACATTCATTATTGTTAGGTGAGGGTTCTCCTAGAAAGGAAACAAAAATATGTAAATATAGACATTTGTGTGCATGCATACATGCATCAAAGTAGATTAAGCGTGTGAAATACACTTAGAGCTTCAATGTTGTTTATGTTCCTTCCTGGTCACAAGTAACCTGGAGGTGAAGTTAAAAACCAAAAGACGTCCCCTGACAGAAGAAATCAAAGCTCCAATCACCTATTTCATGGCTATGGGTATAAAGGTGGCTTTTACTGTGCTATATTTTCCTGAGGAGCTCTAGGAAAGTAGGATTCTGACAGCCCCCACTCTGGGTTAGTCCTTAATAGGTGTATGATACATATACAATTTGCCAACATTTACCTTGAATTTTATTAACGACAGGATGCTGCTCTTGTAAGGGTCAGGGATGTCAGGATAACACGTCTCCTTGATCCTAGAAAAAAAAAATGGAAAATGAGACTGAATTTCACGGTACAGTGAACTAGTTAAGAGCAAGAACTCTGGAGTCAGATTCCTGGCTTCTAATCCTTGCATTGTTACTTACTAAGCAAGTTACTTGGTTCTTCCATGCTTTAATTTCTTATTGGCTAAATGGAGATAATTATGGTACTTAGAGTGTCCTCATGAAGATTAAATGAATTAACTGATAAAGCACTTAGAACACTGCCAAACATCTAGTAAGTAAGATATAAATATTAGCTACTGCTGTTGAAAAAATTCTGTGGTCTATGTTAAATGGTGATTAGTTTCCTCATATAGTCACCTGGAGAGCAAAACAGTGAAATAAAGTACATATTCTCACCCCAGCCTCTTTTGTCCTTTTCATTTTCTGTATGTTGTTTCGTATTATTCAATGTCATTTCTATCTTACTAAATCTCTTTCCAGATTTTTCTCTTACCCTCTTCTTGGATAAAACCTTCCTCACACACTTACCACTGACTTTTCAAGTAGCACACGATCATGATGAGCAAGACGCAGAAAACCATGGGCAGTAGGATACGAATCAACATGGAGGCTGAACAAGGAAAAACAAAGGGACATTTTTAATAAGTACTTTTCCCTTCCTCAAAGGAATAAAATTAAGTTCATGACTGAGAGTAATTTTACATGTTTATTATTTCTCAAATTATGTATGCAAGTTGTAATATGAGTTCTGCCTGACTTCAGGGGAAAAGCCAACCAACCAACTAGCCAACCGACACAGGAAGCCATTTGCCATCAACAGTGTGTGACTCACATTTGTTACCTCTTCTGATAGATTGCATCGTGACTTGCTGTATTAACATTATGCTTTTCCACTCCTGCCAAAACTTCATAGTAGGTGAGAACACTTTCCTGCCCCTTGACTTGGGGCTCAGCCATGTGCACTGGCTTGGCCAATGGGCTGTTGGTAATCGTAATGTAACTAAGTGTTTTACATGTGCATGTACACATTGGCTTGCGCTCTTGTGTTCCTCACCATGAGAAGCGTGTGCCTCAGGTAGCTGCTGCGACTTTAGCCTTAGCCCTAGAATGAAGATGCGTGAAACAAACCTGAACATGACTGAAGCTTAGAGTCCAGCTTACCACAGCCTAGATCAGCCAAGTCTCAGCTGACCTGTAAACCCATGAGCATAAAAAGAAATATTTGTTCTTGTATGCCACGGAGCTTTTGAGGGTGTTTGTTACACATCAAAAATTGACTAGTGCACTCCTTCTAGTTAGCCTCAGATTACCTAAATATGTCTTAATCTGGGAAAATGATTATGTTTATTTCTCCAATATGTCAACTGGTGCTTCATTTATTTCAAATGACCATTGTGAAATCTGTTAGAATAAAAATGGAATCACTAATGGTAGGAAACCCTGACAAATAGAGCTGGGAAGGTCATGCAGATAACAAAAACCACTACGAAAACCACAACCTTGCACAAAGGCCATCACAACCTTACACACACACACACACAATGCTTCTGCAAGGACATCTTCCCATTAAACCTTGAACTGGCATCACCCTTGTTATTCATCTTTGTAGTCAAGGATAATTATTTCAAAGCAATTATATAATCCTCCTCATTTTTTTTTTCCTTTAAAAACTTTTGTCTTCCTTTACCTCCCTGAATATGCACATAGTTTACTATAGTTTATTTTGGCATAAGTATTTCCACGGAAATTCTCAGTCCCAAATAAACACCTTTTCTTTTAGAGAGTGTCTCTCTCTTACTAGACTGACACCATCTTCCTGTTCCCATTGCTTGCAATTTCCACCAAATAATAATTCAGCTGGGTTGGTAAACATCCCTTTTCACAAAAGTAAATTGCTCAGGGAGGATCTAGGGGGTTAAGTTACTGAACATATGATTCTGTTCAATCCATTGGCCCCCTCTGCCCTCCCCATGCTCCACCCCACACCTAGCTGCCCTGGAAGAAATGGGGCTTGATTTGGGGACAGTGGTGTGGCAGATAATGTTGGAGTTTTGTAAAGAAAGGTGGCCCTGGGTAGATGCATAAGCCTGTGCTATGAGGCAACATAAGGTTCCAGGGAAAAGGACCCAGAAAGGTAAGAGAGGGCCAAAACAACTGACCTAAAATTAACCCTGACCCCAGAAAAAGGGGAAGGAAACTCTCTTTATGAATCTTACTATGGTAAACTTTGCTCTCAAGAACAGTACTTTTGATGATGTAAACCAAAAAGTATCTGAGACAGGTCTCCATCAATTTAGAAGTTTCTTTTGCCAAGGTGAAGGACATGACTGGAAGAAATAAACAGAATCACAGAAACATTATGTAGTCTGTGTCTTCCTCCAAAGATAATGTTGAGGGCTTCAATAATGCTGAGGGCTTCAATTTAAAGGGGAAAAGTGGGCTGGAATGAGAAAGGGCTGGAGGAAAAGTGGGCTGGAGGAGGGAGGGTATGATTATCCACATGTCACAAGAGAAAAGGAGGAGACAGAAGAATAGTTAATTATGTATTCACCTCCCAGGAGAGGCTACGATAAGATAAGGCAAACACAGAGTAGCTACCTGTGGAGATATTTAAGCTTTTACTGTACCTGTCTGCTTAGAAGCAAAAGGAAAGGCAGCTTCTTGCATGAACCAGCTTTCAGCGTATTTTTTTCCCTTGCATAGTGAATTTTATGTTCTGTTCACAATCACTGCACGTGATTTAGGTATTTAAAGTACACGTCTTTAGGTATTTCTTTAGGGTTTATGTAGGCATTTTGGGGGCATATATACCTAGGAATGAAGGTTCTCACATCTAAGGTATATATATACTCATTTTAGGAGATACTACCAAGGAATTTTCCAAAACTGCTTGTACCAATTTACTCCCATCAGCAAGGTATGGAAGTTCCAGTTCTTCTACATCCTCATCAACACTTGGTATTTTTCATCTTTTACATTTCAGCTATTTTCAGGCTAATTTTAAACAGAAACTTTCGGAACATAATCTACTTCCATACTCAGGATTTAAAAATGATTCAGTAGTGCCTATTAAATTCAGAAGGAAATGTAGTGCCAAATGTCCAAATATAAAAACACAAATTACAGTTGGTTTGGACACCCTGTATGTTTAAACAAACTGCTTACCCTCTCTGTGCCTCATTATCTCTATTTAGTAACCTAGTCTCCTGATCAGAGAAAAAGTTAACCAATTTACAAAGAGAAAGGATTATTTTGAAAAATACCAACAGAATAAACATTTATTCACTACTTTGCAATTTCAGTATTACATTAATTTTTTGCATTTCTATTTTTTGTTTTTGCTGTTTAATCATTCTAGCCTCATTGCAGTAGATACAGGTATTTTTTATTCCCATCTAACAAGATCTGAGGTACAGTTAATTGGATGCTAGTCACATAATATTCTACCTATTTTTTTTTTAAGTAAAATCTCAGGAAAGTAGAAAAAAGTTTGAAATATTTTCTACTTTCTATTTCAAATATTTTATTTCAAATAATAATATAATCAGTAGTCACAAGCCAAGCCAGGGCTAATGAAGTTTAACATAAGGGAGATGAATGAAACTTAGAAAATAAATATTTAAAGATAAGTGTGTGTGTGTGTGTGTGTGTGTGTGTGTACCAACCAAGTAAATTACAAAGGTAGAATAAAACTAACCTGAAAATAAATTTAAAATTAACTCCAAAATGCCAAGAGTGCTCAAGTAATGTAAATCATTGACACATCTTAATCAGATAAGGGGTTCTGGATTTTGGCTTGGAGACCTAGGGACGTTTCAGTGTAGTAGTCAACATGCAGTCAGCACCACAACCTGTCTGATACTGTTTGGCTGTGTCCCCACCCAAATTTCATCTTGAACTGTAGCTCCCATAATCCCCACGTGTCATGGGAGGGACCTGGTGGGAGGTAATTGAATCATGGGGGTGGCTGCCCCATGCTGCTGTTCTTGTGATAGTGAGTGAGTTCTCACAAGATCTGATGGTTTTATAAGGGGCTTTTCCCCCTTTGCTCGGCACTTCTCTCTCCTGCTGCCATGTGAAGAAGGATGTGTTTGCTTCCCCTTCTGCCATAATTATAAGTTTCCTGAGGCTTCCTCAGCCATGCAGAACCATGAGCCACTTAAACCTCTTTCCTTTATAAATTACCCAGTCTCAGGCAGTTCTTTAAGGCAGTGGAGAATGGACTGATGCAGTAAATTGGTACTGAGATACCTTATAAGGTATCTGAAAATGTGGAAGCAACTTTGGAACTGGGTATCAGGCAGAGACTGGAACAGTTTGGAGGGCTCAGAAGAAGAGAGGACGATGTGGGAAAGTTTGGAACTTCTTAGAGACTTGGAGGGATCAGAAGACAGGAAGATGATGGAAAGTTTGGAACTTCTTAGAGGTTTGTTGAATGGATATGACCAAAATGCTGATAATGATAAGGACAATGAAGTCCAGGTTGAGGTGGAAGTCCAGGCTCAGATGGAGATGAGGAACTTGTTAGGAACTGGAGCAAAGGTGATTCTTGTTATGCTTTAGCAAAGAGACTGGTGGCATTTTGCCCCTGCCCTAGAGCTCTGTGGAACGTTGAACTTGAGACAGATGATTTAGGGTATCTGGCAGAAGAAATTTCTATGCAGCAAAACATTCAAGAGGAAGCAGAGCAAAAAAGTTTAGAAAATTTGCAGCCTGATAATGCAATACTAAAGAAAAACCCATTTTTTGAAGAGAAATTCAAGCCAGCTGCAGAAATATTCATAAATAATGCATATATACAGCCACACGTATCTGAACAAGATGCCAAATGTTAATCATTAAGGCAATGGAGAAAATGTCTCTAGGCCATGTCAGAGGTCTTCACGGCCACCCCTCCCATCACAGGCACAAAAGCCTAGCAGGGAAAAATGGTTTCCTGGGCTAGGCTCAGGGACCCCTGCTCTGTGCAGCCTCAGGACATGGTACCCTACATCCCAGTTAATTCAGCTCTAGCTGTGACTAAAAGAGGTCATTGCTTCAGAGGGTGCAAGCACCAAGCCTTGGCAGCTTCCATGTGATGTTAAGTCTGTGGGTGCACAGAAGTCAAGAATTGAGGTTTGGGAACCTCCACCTAGATTTCAGAGGACATAAGGAAATGCCCGCATGTCCAAGCAGAAGTTTGCTGCAGGGGCAGAGCCCTCATGGAGAACCTCTGCTAGGGCAGTGTGGAAGGGAAATACGGGGCTGGAGCCCCCGCAGAGAGTCTGCACTGGGGCACTGCCTAGTGGAGCTGTGAGAAGACGGCCACCATCCTCCAGACCCCAGAATGGTAGATCCACCAACAGCTTGCACCATGTGCCTAGAAAAGCCAAGAAACTCAATGCCAGCCCATGAAAGCAGCCAGAAGGAGTCTGTACCCTGCAAAGCCACAGGGGTGGAACTGCCCAAGACCACAGGAGCCTATCTCTTGCATCAGCATGACCTGAATGTGAGACATGGAGTCAAAGGAGATCATTTTGGAACTTTAAGGTTTAATGACTGCCCTATTGGAATTCGAACTTGCATGGGACCTGCAGTTCCTTTGTTTTGGGCAATTTCTCCCATTTAGAATGGGTGTATGTACCCAATGCATGTACTACCATTGTATCTAGGAAACAACTAACTTGCTTTTAATTTTACAGGCTCATAGGTGGAAGAGACTTGCCTTGTCTCAGATTAGACTTTCGACTTGGTCTTTTGGGTTAATGCTGGAATGAGCTAAGACCTTGGGGGACTGTTGGAAAGGCATGATTGCGTTTTGAAATATGAAGGCATGAGATTTGGAAGGGGCCAGGAGTGGAATGATATGATTTGGCAGTGTCCCCACCAAAATCTCATCTTATATTTTAGCTCCTATAATCCCCATGTGTCCTGGGACGGATCCAGTGGGATGTAATTGAATCATGGGGGCGGTTACCCCCATGCTGTTCTCATGATAGTGAATGAGTTCTCACAAGATGTGATGGTTTTATAAGTGGCTTTTCTCCTTTGCTCGGCACTTCTCTCTCCTTCCGCCATGTTAAGAAGGACGTGTTTGCTTTCCCTTCTGCCATGATTGTAAATTTCCTGAGGCCTTCCCAGCCATGTGGAACTGTGAGTCAATTAAACCTCTTTCCTTTATAAATTACCCACTCTCAGGCAGTTCTTTATAGTAGTGTGAGAACGGACTAATACACTGCCACTGAAGCCATGTGTATCTGAATCACCCGTCAGGGCACTCCAGGGTCAGCAGTCCAACAGGACGTGCCCATCTCTACAGCTGCAGCTTCGGTGAGGGCACCCTGCACTAAGGAAAGTTGGTAACTTCAGGCAAGCCTTTTGAATCTATTTGCGTTACATGGGTGCCTTCCAGGACCTTCTATGATCCCCTCATTAAAGATACTCTTTTCTCCTCTTTCTTCCATCAGCATCTATTTTCTCTCACCACATTCCTGTTTATTGGTTGTCAGGGTTTGCCATGAGAATAAATTTTTCCATCAACCAGTTCTTACTGTTTTTCTCCCTTCCCTCTTACTTCTCCATCTTTCAAGCCAAATGTATTTTTGAAAAGATCTCTCTCTCTCTCCACCTCACCATTTCCCATCCAAATATGCAAACAGGGAGTTTTTGAGCAAGTATTCCATGCCCCTGCCCAATTCCCACACCACTGTACCCATTTCTAATTGCCCCGGAGGCCCTAGCAGAGTCAAGAAGCAATTTGTTTGCTGCTGAGGGAAACAATCCAGAGGAAAGCTAGCTGCAGAGAACAATTCTGCTGAGAAAACCAGCACCCCTCTTCTCTAGACAGAAGCCTTGTGGCTCTTCTGATGTCAACACTAAAATATGCTATCTGTGATTTTCAAACTACATACAGGATTGTGAGACTGAGTTCCAGAGAATTGTCTCAAGGGCCACTGAGGGAGGCAGAGGGAAGATGTTAGGCCTTAATCAGACAGATTACCTCCATTTGTATCTATTTTATATAGTGAGAGTCTGTGCAACTCTTTTTTTGTGACACAAAGGGTTTCATCGAGAGAAAGAGGGAGGTGTGATGGAGAGAAGAAAGGTTTGAAAATTCCTGATCTAGACAAAGCCTAAGTCAACACTTCTGTAATTTGTTAGTTTCCCAGAAACTCCTAAGGGAAGACCTTTGATTTGGGAAAACTCACAGTGTTCATCCGGAGTCGTGACCTTCGTGAACGTAGCATTGGGGCCCTCGCCAGCACTAGTGAATGGAGTAACGAAAAACTCATAGAAGGATTCTGGCTTTAGGTTGTCCACAATCAATGCCTTTTCTTCTGGGTTGTCAATTTTGTATTTGCAACATTCTGAACCATCTGTGATTTTTAAATGTTTTTTTTTTTAAGGAAAAAAATACTGTATTAAAAGTGTGGTAAACATCTTGTGAGAGAGTTGGACACTAATACTCTTGTTAACTCAGCACCATCAATATGTTTAAACCAAACAAAAATCAAATCATAATTTCATCACCATAGGCACACCAGGTAAAATGTTCAGGAGATGGCACAAAAAGCAGAAAATCCACTGAACAAGGGGTACTAGTGATCCAGCCAAAGCATACAAATCTGCAAGAAACAGTAAGAGTTTGCAAGGGGCTTAAAAATAAATTGGAACAATGCTCAATAAAGTGAAAAAAAAGAGGAAAGTTTCATAAAGAGCAGGTTTTCTTAAGGAGCTGGTGGTGCTTCAGATGCTTCTAAAAATACCAGGTCATATTGTTTTTTAAGTAAGTTAAAATGCTGTCCCACCCCCACCATCTTGCTCACCCTACTAATTTGCTTAAGAACACCTTTTCAGTATAAAGTCATGCAAGAAGGGAATTCAGCCTGGCCACAGTCTAAGATGGCAGCCATTATTTTCAATGATTTCAAATAATGAGATCTTGAAAGAATAAATAAACAAATCAAAAATAGATGTCACCTGAAAGAACTGCCTTTTGAAATCGTGGGTGGCACTGCCTCGCCTTGGATTTCAGATAGACATGGTACCCTTGTATAAAACCAGGTTGAGATTCAGTAGAGTAATCTTTCCAACTCAGAGTGAAGGAGTGGGATGTCAACATATCTACCAGCACGTGAGGGTTGTCTGAAGGAGCTAGGAAAAGAAGTTGGGATAAGAGAAAAGTCATGATTTGGAAACAGTCTCAGAATATTCATGTCAACTAATAGAAGAACCGTAGCCAGCTCCAGAGGTTGTAAGAGCTTATGCCGAGTTAAGGAGTTTTATCTGTTTCTTTAGAGGATTTGTGCCTTGACATAGTTTATGTGAGCTGTGAAGGAGTTGAGCAATCTTGTTCAAGTCTTGCCTTTCACAGATGAAGAATGGACACGCAGAGACTAAATAACTTGCACAAGCTCACATAGCCCCCCCAAAAAAAGAAAGAAACTAAAGTCTAAAAAAAAAAAAGAGACTTAATTCTGTTCTTAAATTCGAAACGGTGTTTGAAAAAAGACAACCACAGAACCTACTAAAGTGAGGAAGAAGGGAGGAAGTGAAAGTGGAAGGATTATGTTCAAAGAGGCAAGTGGGGTGATTTGATGAACTAGATCTAGTTCCCAGGTTGTGGCAGTGCCCAGTTATCCAAGTGTCACTGAAAAACAATCCAAGAATGTTTACTTTGAAGGCTTTGCTGAGGCTGTTTTCCCACACACGCTTATGCACAGTTGGACTGTGCACACGAAGTCACACACCTCCTGCCCACTCTGAGCCAACTGTAAACTGTGGATCCACTCCTGCTAAAGGAAGAACCCCTGAGAACTGGTCTGATTTGTGTGAACAATTAAGCACCCACCTGAAGAAGGAGAATCAGCAACCCCATGGGAGGATCAAAAATCCCCTCCACTGCTGGTGGGACAGTGGTGACATTTCTAGGGGGTGATTTCACAACATGTATGTAAAGTCTTAAAAATTATGAAAGAAATGAAAAAGATATTTTAAAAGTTGAAACCCTTTGATTCCAGCATCCTATCCTTAAGACATCATTTACAAACCATTGTTATGGATTTGGACAAAGATGAGCTAAAACAATGATTATTCACATAGGGTATAAGAGACTAAACAAAGGAAGAAAGAGAGACTTAGCAACGAGAATGAAAATGTTTTATGTTTGTATGATTAAAAAATAATTTTAAAAACCCAATAGCCAGAGTAAATGGGATATCAAAAAGCGGGTATGATGCCGACACCTTCCTAAACCCAAAGCTAGGAATCTATGAATTGTTCTGAACAAGTCTGCACATGGGGCACATGAAATGCTTTAAACTTACCCAGTTCCTGAGAGTATCCTGTTTTTTTCTCTAATAAACAAGCAATCCTTTTTGTAGATAACCCATAGATTCTGAAGTCGTATCGAACTCCTGGCCTAAAAGCATCTAGGGAAGAAAAGTCAACAGATTTTTAATAACAGAATGACATTTCCTAATTCTGAAAAGAAAAATGATGAAAAGGCGTGGCACGGTGGCTCACACCTGTAATCCCAGCACTTTGAGAGGCTGAGGTAGGCAGATCACTTGAGGCCAGGAGTTGGAGACCAGCCTGCCCAACATGGTGAAACCCTATCTCTACTAAAAACAGAAAAATTATTAGCCAGATGTAATGGTGGGCACCTGTAATCCCAGCTACTGGGGAGGCTGAGGCAGGAGAATCGCTTGAACTCAAGAGGCAGAGGTTGCAGTGAGCTGATATCAAGCCACTGCACTCCAGCCTGGGTAACAGAGCGACAGTCTGTCTTCCAACCCTTCCCCCTCCCCCCTACAAAAGAATGAAAAATAAATTTGTGTTCCCCTAATAATTGCCTTTCAGGAATTTTGCATTTTATCCCCACCATATTCCCTCCTTCCATGAAGCCTTGGAGTCCTCCATGCTGCAAACACCTGGCCCCACTGTCTTGTCTCCAGCAAAGCCTGCAGGGATTAGCCTCTGCAGTGTTCTTTGAAGCAAGAGCTCTCAAACATGCCTGTGTATCCATGTGCACACAACTGGGTGCAGAATCAGACCAGACACAGAAAACCATTCAAGCCCTTCTTTGACTCCAAATCCCCCTCTGGTTACTTGTCTTCCCTCTTCCCATTAAAGCCAATAGTCTTGAAAGCTTTGCTTCCACTTCCTCATTTCCCCATTACACTTATACCTCTGCAATCTCCTTCCAGAACCCACCACACCACTGAAATTGGCGAAGCTTTGATCATCCTCTGAACAGGGACATTTCCCACACCTTTCCATGAGCCCAGCAGATGGCGCCACCCACCCCTCCAGCTCAAGCCACACAAATGGGCACTCTTGTGTCTGCTAAACTAGCAAATCTTCACATTACAAATCCAATGTGGGAGGTAAGAGAACAAGTTCTACATGTTCTATTGAAACTGAAGGCTGATGATCGATTCTCATCAACTATATGTCCTAAACATCTTCCAAATCCATGCAATTCTCTGCTTTTGTAAAAGCTCTCTGGACAACTGTTACAACGTCCCTCTGCCATTCGAGACTATGCACTAATTTAGAGAAACAAGTTTAGGAAAACCATGAAAATCAATTCCCATCTCATGTGCAGATATTCTCTGCAAAAGGAGATTTAAAGGTTGAGTTTTAGAACATATTCTTGTAACATCTGAACTCCTAACACCCATGCTGGATTTGTCGTTTCAAAATTATTAGCTGAGCACAGTCAAAGTCTGTGAAGTAGTCCAGAAATCCCACTTGAACTTGCTTCAAGGTGAATATAGCAATGCGATGATATGGAAGGTTCTTCTTACCTGTGCTAATGACTGTGCTTGTGGTATTGGGACCTACATTCTTCCACTGGAGCACATCCTGGGGATGGTCACACCAGTCCACAACATAGCCTATAACATCTCCAGGCTGGGGTTTCCAAGACAGAGAGAATCCACCCTCTGTGCCTGCAATTCTTTCTTCCTCAACCTCTTCTGTATATAAACAAATAGAGCAATGCTCCAGACTTAATTAACTGTAAATTGTTTTAAGTATGTAAGGTAGAAAGTAGATACATACATTCACGGTATCTAGTAGGTAACAGACCTCCACTTCAATAGTTACAGGTGCTTGGGTGGGGGATGTTTTCATGGGTGAGTTCCTGCCTCTTACTTCCCGGCAAACATTCACACCTGCCCTTCAGATGCCCATCATGTTGGCCTTCTGAAGTCCAACCAGACTTCAGCACCTAGGACAGGGGCCAGCAAACTACCACCAGGATGATTCCAGCCTCTGAGGGTTGCTTTCATATGACCCTTGAGCTAAGAATGGTTCTAAGACATTTTAAGAGTTGTAAAAATACAAATAAACCAAAAAAGAAGGCATATAATAAAATATGTAATGGAGACTATATGACCTGCAAAAATGTTTGCCATCTGCCCCTTTACCACAAAATTTGTTGATCCTTGATCTAGAATCTGGTATTGGGTACTGGATCTGCTTCAAAAATTACCTGTTGAATGAATAACTAATGCAGGTTAATTCTCCCACAGTAATATCAGTTGCTCCTAAACTAAATACTGCTTCTGAGATGTGTTACGGGTAGGAATTGAGTAGAAGACAAAAAAGAAGAAAATATTCAGGTATATAAAAAGTTGGGTTATATAAGGATATGCACACAGTTTATGACTAACGCTGCCATCTCAATAGATTTTATATGTTAAAGTAGGTTTCCTGATGTCTGACAATTGGAAAAAGGGTAACATGGCCTCAGGGGACTACCAGTTCTACTGAGTTTCAACAGGGATATACCTTATCCTTGAGGCATGAGAATTTCTCCTCTTTCTACAGACTTACACTAAGAACTGGTTTATTGTTTGTCTGTAATTCACATTTAGCTGGGCCTCCTGTATTTTATCTGGCAATCCTAATTACAACTGAATAGTGGTGCGAAAACCACTGATTCACTTTTATAGGGCATCAAAATATCATCCAGCTGGGGGCACCCAAAGGAATGTGTAGCTCTAGGTATAAGGTAAAAGCCCATGAGGGCTTTATAGATCCCATCCACATGGCTTCCCTGCTTTCCTCCATCAAGCAGACAAATTCCCCACACATATTAAGGCTTGACATTTTTCACTTGACTTATTAATACTTAGTAAAATTTAACTCCAAACCCAGGGTTGAAACTCTTAGAAAGCTGCTTCTTTAAACTGAAAATACATTTTGAGAGATAGAGGCAGATCAAAGAGTAGGGGAATCTTTTTGTCAGTCATTCGCACCCTAGTGTGAATTAGCTTAACCTTATTGATTTTCTCATAGTACATGAGTGACTTTATACATGCTGGTGATGTAGAAACAAGGAGCACTTAAGGATAGCTAGCTGGAGCCTCACACCAGAAGGTCTAGGCATCTGAAGGCAGGGCATGGGGATGAAGGGTATGGTAGGAGACCCCAAAATATATAATTGCTCTCAGCAGTGTTGCTTTGAACTGGTCTCTGCCTTCCTCAGGAGAGGCCAGTACCAGCTCCCCAAGGCTGAATGAAATGCCCCCTTTTCCTGTTCAGATCCTAATGAAGTCAGAATATAACTTCTTTCTCTAATATAGTTCTTCAGAAAACAGAGGTTACACTAAACAACTCCTAAACCAACTCCTAGAGTTTTTCTTCTATGGCACAATATAATTTATTTTCCTCATGTGATACATACTGGATAGTTCTTTTGAAAACATAAAAATAAAACAACAACATCCTCTAATCCAACTCAGTTAACCCAAATTTAAGCTGAACTTGAATAAATAAATATCATAGAACCTACCATAACATCATAAGCAGGGTCTGGAAATTTTAATAGTAGGAGCCAAAGGGTGATATTATTACAAGGTTCATGAATGATCCTAGCATGCCACTGCCCGACTGCATTATGTGTGCCCATGTGTGTATCATCTCATAGTGTGTAACTGTGGGGTTGACTCTTTTTATGGCTCTCTAAGAAGGAAATTAATATCACTATTGATTTGGCATGTAGGGCAAGGGCATTCCACCTTGTTTGCTCTTTCATAGGCAAGAGATTAGCCAGTTATTATCTTTTATTCTACAAAGTTGGCAGAGCCCCTGGTGAAAGCTGATGCCAGTTCTGATGATCTCTGGAAATATTCATGGGCTCTTTCCAGGTGCAAAGACTGACAACACTTTTTACAAAATAGTAAATGCAATTCCTATTTCACAAGCCACAAAGATCATAAATAGTAACTCCAATTTTCAGTGGTAACTGTGGTTGGGGTTGCATTTACTTGAATAAACTTCAGATAATTTCCCAAGTATGTTGAAGAATCCCCTGGACAGAAATATCCTGAGCCATGGCTGAAGTCTCCCCACACTGAGGGGACTGTCCCACTGAAACATGTTGACACACCTGGCCCAAAAGTAAATGGCTATTTGGTGACTAGACATTTTGTCTTCCCAAGTTACTGTTTTCTCAATGTATCCATCACCACTTAATAACGTCATCAACATTTTCCTAGAGAATAAAAACAAAACAAAAAGCAAAACAAACTCACTGTTTTCAGGGTCCGCAGAGATGACTATTATAGAAGCAGGAGAAGCGCCCACACTGTTGTTAGCTGTGACGCAGATTTGGTAGGAACACCTGTCGAGGATTAGTTTTGTGCTGTTGGCTGGTGCCGGAATGGAACGGAGCTCTGACCTGGACGGTTTGTCTAGGTTTTCTACAACTACATTATAGAACAGGATCTTTCCATTGGCATGCAGTTTTGATAATGGCTGAAAAAAATATTGATAAACATTTTAAAATGGATTTTAATTGAAAGGAATTTGTACAACTCCTTTTTCATCTTTTCTGTCCCTCAACTCCTTTATATACGCACACCCACCAGAAAATTCAAACAGCTTAATAGAGAAAATAACTCTCTCAACCAAGTCTGAAATCAGACATTCAAATCTAACTGAAGGTGAGTAGAGAAGAGGACCATTTGGAGATAAAAGCCTCAAGAGCATTATGTGTCCTGAGAAGAGGGCTCAGATCAGAATCACAAGGAATAGACTCTTTAACCTGGTGGAAAAAAGAATGTGAGGGGTAGTCAAGGGCAGAAAAGCAATGAGAACAAACAGCACCACCCTGGGACCCTGCAGGAGGAGCCTGGGTACTGGCCTCATTCCACCTCCAGCTGTATTGTCCCCATGCAGCTGTACAGGGATGAGCTGCTCTCCATACCCAGAGTCCTCCTCTGGAAGGCTCAGTTTGCAGAGAAATTCTTGCTCACACAGTCCCAAGCCCATTCTCAGGGTCTGTTCCTCAGGCCTCCTCTCCCCTGGCATGTGTACCACCAGACCTGAGAGTGGGCTGGGAGTGGCTATCTGCTTGGGGTGTGGACAGAACCCAGACATGCAGACTGGCATGCCCACATGTCTGTGCACAGAGATTCTTGCAGAGTGTGCCAAACTAAAGGTGAAAAAAAAAAAGTGGGGTAGGTTGAGACCAGAGTCAACTCTCCCAGCATCACCATGTTTCGGTGTGAAATTGACGCATCACTGAGTTCAGAATACAAACCTGGCCTTCCAGGTTGTCATGAAGGTGTATTAGGCAAGATAGAAGGATAAAATTTATTTTATATTACAATTTTTAAGCTTGATTTATAATTTTAAAACATAAATAGTATGAATGTTTAAATATGTGTAACTTTTAACTATCTTATGTCGTTGTTTACTTACATCTTTGCCCTGGGCCCTGCAAGAGTCAGGGCTGGCCTGAGTTGAAGTCGCGGAGAAGGTTCTACCAATCAGAACTGGCTGTCGGTTGCATGAGCTGTCAAAGGGGTGGAGTGGGATTCCTCTACTAGGTAAGAAATTCTGTCGGATGAATGCAAAGATCCCTCCCAGTTGGGACACTGGACCAATCAACAGTTCTCCAGAGGAAGACACATTTGTTTCCACAAATGTGGCTTTTAGAAACAATCACACTTTTGGAATCTGCACATCTTACCTTCCAGAATAAGGTCACAGTATGATTTCCTGGCTCTGAGTTCACACTTCTCCAGACATCAGGGGCCTCTGACGGAGCTGAAATTAACCAAAGAAAAGCCCTTGGGTCATAATATGTATGTAACGCAATACGCTCAACCTTTTTCTAGGTTGGTCAAGGACATGACAATTACCTGTCTAACCTGAGGCTTGCCTCTCCCCTTTTTGCTCTCTGTGACTTCTACCCACTGGTCCACAGCCACACTGCTCACTCCTCACTAGGTGCACATAGTACAGGGCTTTATAAAAAGGTCAGCTGCCTCTGAAAGCCTTTTTAAACATCAAGCCATAGAACTACCAAAGAATTTTGGAATAATTCATCCATTAGACCAATTCCAGATGAGTTAGGTAAATTTCCCCTTTTCTGACTTTCTAGGCAGCAGACCTTTGCTACTTACTTGCCTCATTTGTGATGGACAGAGACACACTGATGGGGAGCCCGCTAGGGGCAGGAAGCGTTCTTTCTCACGTTCATGACACCCACGGCTGATCCGCTCACTGGAATGCTGGTCTCCCTCCACTGGGAAGGCCTCATTCCACTCCTCCTCCCAGCACCCTGCCTGTGGCTGGGTCACCTGCTTGCTGTGGACACTTGAGGCACCTGCAGCACCCAGCATTTCTTCTATCGTGGCTCTCACCATGCTGTTTTAGAATAATGTGCTTCCTTGTCTCTCTGTCAATAAACCATAGGATCCCTGGGGCCAAGGGCTTTGAAACTCCAGCATCTGCCTCAGGGCCTGGCACTTTGTGAAACTTCTACAAACTGTTTGAATAAAAAACAAACTTCAAAGGAACTCAGAAAACAATCTGCTTCAATGTCCCAATCTTTTCTTGTCTCCATCCCTCACTCAGAAATCTTTGTAAACAGATTGACTGAGTGATTTTGCATCTAAATCCGCATTTGCTCAATCAACTTATCATGAGGAAAGGTCTTTAAATCCAAGGCAACTCTGGGTACCTATGTATAAAACCATTTAGGGGATCTCTTTTACACATAATTATAGCTAATATTTACAGAGGGGCTACTAGATGCCAGCCAAGTTCCAAATGTTTTGCATATATTAACTCATTTAATCCTCATAACACTTCTATGGGGCAGGTATGATTATTTACCCCATTCTCCAGATAAGGAAACTAAGACCCAGAGAAGGTAAGTTAATTTCTTAAATCACTCAGGTGAAAGTAAAAGTGAAGCCAAGATTTAGGGTCTGGTCATTCCACTATTCACCTTTAGAAAATGAATGGTCAATTGAAGACTCAGCTTGCATGACAAGTTCAACAAAATTCTCTTTAAAAAAAAACTCAGCAATGGAAAAATAATGACATCAGTGCAATTTATTTTAAAATCTTAAAAAAGGAACACATTTTAATCACTGATTGATAAAAATATTATGAAAGTCCTATTAAGATGAGTACATCTTTTAGTTTGTAAATTGTTTTGCTGGATTTATGTAATACTCTGTATTCCACACAGAATCAAATTTTCTACTGATACAATTTTGTCATGGTATGACATTCACAAGAATAGTACAACAAAAAGTAGTCAAAAGAGAATTTAAAACATTCACAAGCCACAAGAAATATCAGGCTTTAACTGCTGAAGATATAGATGACCCAATAAAAGCACATCCATGGAGACAAACAAGAAAGGGACTCACAGGTATTGATGTCATTCTGCAACTGAGCCCTAACAGCATATATCATTTTTAAATCCAGACTTAAAAAACATCTTCATCTCTCTACTCAATCACATTTTGTGAATGTACTGCTTCAGCTTTCTGAATTTGAAAATACAACTATAGCATGTCTCCTATGACTTTTATTTTTAATGTTTACTTTGAAACTTCCCTTTAATTCTTAAAGATAGCTTGAATATTTTAGCATAGCCCCTAATAAAAATAATTGAATTAAATTCAAGTATCTAATTAAGAGAGTTAATAGTAATGGCTACAAACCTAAAAAACTCTTGTGATAACAAAAATCAATTTAAATATAAGATGTGGTACAGAGTTGTTAGTTTAAAATCTAATGGTTTAATAGTCCAGATTCCATTTTAGAGTAATGATATAAAATCCAAATTACTTATTAATAGGTTCCTTAACTTTATATGAATTATTTTTCTTCCAACTCTTCCAACTTTTCTTCCAAATCTCAGTTTGCCAAATCACAAATTTGATTTTAATCAGAGAAAAACATCCTTTTTGGAAGGTGCAAATCAGTATTTACTAAATGTTTACCAGTCTACTATCATTGATAGGGTTTACTACATTTCAGTATATAGCCCAGTGCTGTCAAAGTTTTGAGAAATTGTGATTTCATTAAATTACAGTTTGGTTATCAAAACATAACTTCAAAGTCCGTCACCTGAGTGCTACTTTAACTTTCAGACTTCTTTGTGCATGCTATTATGTTCTTGAAAGTAATTTAGCATATTTCCATATAACTCATTCATGTGAAACCATAGTCAATACTTCATTATTCAGTAGTTAATAATCAAACTTCAGTGAATCATATCCCTCCCTATTACATTTTATTTTCCTTTGAAATACTTTTTAAAAACTTCCTAGAAACTTTTTATAATTTAAAGTTTTATTTTAGAGTCAGGGAGTACATGTGCATGTTTGTTACATGGATATATTGTGCAATGCTGAGGTTTGGAATACGAATGATCCCATCACCCAATTGTGGGCATAGAACCCAACAGTTACTTTTTCAACCCTTGCCCCCTCCCTTCCTTCCCAGTCCCCAGTGTCTATTATTTCTATCTTTATTTTCATGAATACCCAATATTTAGTTCCCACTTAAAAGTGAGAACATGCAGTATTTCGTTTTCTGTTCCTGCATTAATTCACTTAGGATAATGGCCTCCAGCTACATCCATGTTGCTGGGAGGAACATTATTTCATTATTTTTTATGGCTGTGTAGTATTCCATGGTGTATATGTACCATATTTTCTTTATCCAATCCACCATTGATGGGCACCTAGGTAGATGCCATGTCTTTGCTATGGTGAATAGTGCTGTGATGAACATATACGTGTTGGTAGAATGATTTATTTTCTTTTGGATATATACCCAGTAATGGGATTTTGGGGTGGAACAGTAGCTCTGTTTTGAGAAATCTCCAAATTGCTTTTTACGAAGGTTGAACTAATTTATATTCCCACCAACAGTGTATAAGTGTTCCCTTTTCCCTGCGGCTTCCCCAGCATCTGTTGCTTTTTGACTTTTTAATAATAGCCATTTTGACTGGTATCCTCATTAGAAAAGGCAATAGGTGCACAGAGAAGTTCAAGAGAATACTTGTGAGCACAGACATAGAAGATGACCATCTATCAGCCAAAGAAAGTGGCCTCTGAGAAACAACTTCAGCCAACAACTTGATGTCAGATTTCTAACCTCCATAATTATGAGACACTACATTTCTCTTGTTAAAGTTCTTCTCTCTGTGGTACTGTGTTATTAAAGCCCTAGAAAACTGTTACAACCTATTAATACACATGGAATATATTCCCTGCAGCATGGTTGAAATGAAAACAGAGTTTTATTATGTCAGGCTCCACTTGCATTTGAGAGCTGAAGCACTGTGGAAAGTGGCCTCCCTTAAGAAATATTATGAAGACACGTGAAGAAGGCTCCTGCCCTGATGGGGCTACAGGGATGACTTCTGTGAGATGACACATTGCAAGCAAATGCATACAGTAGCTTAAGCTTCCCCTTTTTTGTGTATCACCTCCTTTTGTGTAAAAACTTTCTTGTAAGAACATTGGCTATTAATACTTAGAGAAGGTCTAGCAGGGCAGTGGTGCTGACTGCTACAGAAGCTACCTGGGGTTGTTAAAGAATAAAAACAGTAACAACGTGCAAAGATTTTTAAAAATAGCCTTTCTGATTGATGTAAGATGTTGTCTCATTGTGATTTTAATTTGCCTTTTTCTGATGATTGGTGATGTTGAGCATTCTTTCTTTTTTGGTTTTTTTGGCTGCTCGTATGTCTTCAGAACTCTCCGTTCATGTCTTTTCTCCACTTTTTTTTAAATTTTTAGATAGGGTCTCGCTCTGTCACCCATGCTGGAGTGCAGTGGCGCCATCTCCGCTCACTGCAAGCACCGCCTCCCAGGTTCACGCCATTTTCCTGCCTCATCCTCCCAAGTAGCTGGGACTACAGGCGCCTGCCACCACGGCCAGCTAATTTTTTGTAGAGACGGGGTTTCTCCGTGTTAGCCAGGATGGTCTCGATCTCCTGACCTCGTGATCCACCCACCTCAGTCTCCTGAAGTGCTGGGGACCACACCCAGCCCTTATGCCCTCTTTTTAATGGGGTTGTTTGCTTTTTGCTTGTTGAATTAAGTTCCTTATAGATTCTAGAAATTAGATGTTTGGGCCAGGCGCGGTGGCTCAAGCCTGTAATCCCAGCACTTTGGGAGGCCGAGACAGGCGGATCACGAGGTCAGGAGATCGAGACCATCCTGGCTAACACGGTGAAACCCCATCTCTACTAAAAAATACAAAAAAAAAACTAGCCTGGCGCAGTGGCGGGCGCCTGTAGTCCCAGTTACTCGGGAGGCTGAGCCAGGAGAATGGCGTAAACCCAGGAGGCGGAGCTTGCAGTGAGCTGAGATCCGGCCCCTGCACTCCAGCCTGGGCGACAGAGCGAGACTCCCTCTCAAAAAAAAAAAAAAGAAAGAAAGAAATTAGATGTTTGTTAGATGCATAGTTTACAAATAATTTCTCACATTCTGTAGTTATTGCTTACTCTTTTGATAGCTTCTTTTGTGGTTCAGTAGCTCTTTAGTTTAATTAAGTCCCACATGTCAATTTTTGTTTTTGTTGCAATTTCTTTTGAAGACTTAGTCATAAATTATTTCCCAAGGCCAATGTCCAGAATGGTGTTTCCTAGGTTTTCTTCTAGGATTCCTATAGTTTGAGGTCTGACATTTAAATCTGCATTCATCTCAAGTTAATTTTTTGTACATAGTGAAAGGCAGAGGTCTAGTTTCATTCTTCTATATATAGCTAGCCAGCTATCCCAGCATCAT